ACAGGCTATCAGAGCATCCCTGAGGAGGCCCAGTAATGGACCTCTGGGCTCTGCCTGTGCAGATCTTGCAGTCCTGGCCTGGCACGGGAGGGGTTGGCTACATGCTGGGCGGCCCACTGTCATCATCTCCAGCTCCTGCCCACAGTGCTGCGGCTGCATCCAGCATCTTGAATAACAAGCCAGTCCTGGAGCTACACTGCAAGCCGCTCAGAGGTTAAAAGGGTTGGGCTGCCTGCCAGCATTTTTCTGCCCACCTTGTCCCCTGAAGGAATACAGGAATAAGGCTGGGCTAGCCACCTGGGGGCTTCCCTGAGCCCCTCGGTTCTCTCCAGAAATCCCAGAGGGGGCCCAGGACACAGGTGGCGGGGATGAGATGAGAAACAGAACAGGAGGAACACACACACACACACACACATGCGTGCCAGGCACATATGCCCAGCCATCGCAGGCGGGGTGAAGGGTCAAATGAGGCCGCAGCCCCCTGACATCGCAGGCAGGGTGAACGCTTGCGGCATGAAGGGAGATAATGTGCTCTTTAGGGAGCTTTGTTCATTACAGGGGCCAAGGAAATTGACAGGGTTATCGCAAAACAATTTGAAAAACACACAAATAATTCATGTTAGCGTGATGTCATGGTGCTGCTGTAAATAATGAGTTCATACCGGTACCCGGTTTGCACCATCCAAGGGCTGCCCTGCCTGGGTGGGTGGGTGGGCGGGCAGGAATCAGAGCAAAGCCTGGCAGCAAAGGGTGTTAGCTTAGAGGAGCCTTCACAGCCCTGGAGAAAATGGGGTCTGAAGCCCCCAGCAGACTCAAGGGGTTTAAGGCAGCGCCTGTGTTCCCCACCAAGACAGGAGGAGCAGTCCAGCCCCTGGCTGTGCCCACAGGAAAGACCCAAAGCACTCTCGGCTCTGTGAATCTGCTCAGGGGAGCGGCTGGCTGGCAGCTGGCCAGAGATGGGTGGGCGGTATGCTGAGACACAGCCCCAGGGCCAGGGCCACCAGCACACCTGGTTGTGCCAGCTTGGGGTTGACCACTTGTCCCTTCACCTGGCACTACTTGGTCACTGAGAGTTGCAGATCCTGAGTGGGGCCTCTTCGGGGCCTCTGTGGAGGATCCTCAACCCCAGACTGTGGCCACTACAGAGCGGTGAGGTCACCACCCAGTCCAGTCCTGGCCAGTGGCAGGGGCACACAGCCACACCCAGCTCGGCGTGCACAATCCCAGACCACCTGGCCGGTCCCCAGCATGTCGGTGTGATCACTGCCAGCCTGGACTTGATTGATCTCTCCATGAATATTCATGTGGCATTCACAGGACTGTCATTAATATTCTGAGAAGGCGGAAAGAATGCGGGTCCTCTCTTATCAAGTGACAGTCGATATGCAGCTGATGGCCAGTCTGTCCACTCACCAGCCTCTGAGCCCAGCACGGTGGGCAGCACTGCCCAGAGCGACCCAGGGGCTGCCCTGGGTCCTGGACCTGGCCTTACTGGCCACCCTCCTGATGAACCCTAGCTTCCTCCTCCAGCCTCTGGCTGGCTTTGCCTGCCCCTGCCCCCCCAGCCTGACCCTCTCTCAGCCTGCCCAGGGAGCTTTCCCACACCGCCAGTCCCACTCTACCAGGCTCTGCATCAACTCCTCCTTCATAGGGCTACTTGCCAAACAGCAGACACCTGCCCCTCAGCCTGAGCCTGCCTGGCCAGCAGCCCCCACCCCCTCTGGTTGCCCCAGGCTCAGCTGGAAACCCAATCCATGGGCAGACTGCCTCCTGCTGGATCCCTGGGGCTCTGGCTCGTTCCCTGCACTGTCCTGAGAGCACTGTGGCTCCAGGGCTGCTGCCCGGGGCCAGCTGCTCTGCAGCTCACGTAGGCCCCTCAGCCCCCGGCTACCAGCAGGATGGCAAGTGGCCACAGCTGGCCCAACCAGAGATGGACAGAGGACCTCTGCCTCTGACCTGGGCTCCTGGGGCTGGTGCTGTGGTGATTCAAACGGCCTGTTGGCTTAAGACAAGGCCATCTACAAGGAGCTGGCAGGACAGTACTCTGAAGCCCGATGCCCACCCCACCCCTCCCGTGGCTACACCTTGGCAGGGGGGAGCAGCCGTTTCGGGGTGGGGGGGAGGTGGTGCTGATAGCCTGCACCCTCCGGTCTGTCCCCGCCCCTGCCATCAGACGCAGTGCGGCCACACAGCCCTGCCAGAGGCCCTGTGTGACACAGCTGCCAGCAGGCCTGGGCATGCTGCCCAGATTTGGGGGGGGGGTGCAGGCTGAGAGCCGCTGAATCAGCTGGGCTGGACGTCCCTGCCGGTGCTGGGAGGCTGCTGGGGGCAGCTCCCTCTTTGGGAAGCTGTGAGGAGGCATGGCAGATGCTAGGGTTTCTGGAAAGTCACCCTGCAGCCTGGAACTGCAGCTTCCTAGCTGTGTGGAGCAGAGCCTAGGCCTGCAGGGAGGCACCGGGCAGGCAGGACCCTTCTTTCCAAACAAGACCAAAAAGGGAGAAGAGAAACGCGCAGCGGCCACTGCTGATGGGCATGCTCGCTTCCCCAGAAATCGCTGACTCAGCACTGGGAGGCGCGGGCGGAGGGGGGGGGGCGACCCAGCCGGGCCTTCCCAAGGTCAGGGAACATCAAAACATCAACAGTGGTACGTGGTACAGACCATCAGAGGAATCAGGAATCGGCCCTGGGGTCGTGCTCTGGCCCCGCTGCCCCTTCTATCCTGGCTCGGTGGGGCATGTCCTTCCTGACCCCTCCCTCTCGGTGGACCCTTGGTCCCAGCTGTCCCTGGCCCACCCTCTGTTGAAACCATAGCTTGGTGCGAGTGCTGGCTGTTTGGACCTCCACCAGGGTCTCCGGAAGCAGGTGGCTGGTACCTGGCACAGGTCCGGGTCTCTGGCTCGGCCTTGTCCATCTGAGATTGGAAACCAATCAGCAGAGAGCCTCTATCCAGTGCACGGTTCATTTATAGAAATTCCCCAACATGAGCTCTTCTGGTCACCTGCCCTCTGCTGGTGCCGGGGCTCTGGGTCTCCCTGGTCACTGACGGAGGCCCGCCTCGTCCACGGAGGTGAAGGTCAGGGGCGACGGCATGGGTTATGATGATGGGGGAGTCGGGACCTCACGGCTGCATGCCCAGGGTCCACCTGGAGGTGGAGAGGCCTCAGCAGTGGGCAGCTCTGCCACCCTCCCCCAGTGCTCTGCCCATGATGGCTCTCCGTCTGTCTGTCCCTCCTGTGCCTGTGCTCCAGTCCTGACCCTCTCCCGCCCAGGGACTGTCCTTTCCTGAGCCCCTCCGACTCCTCCAGACGCCGCCCCCGCCTCTGTGGTGCGGCTACTCTGCCTTGGGCATTCCTTTTTGGTGATCTGAGCCAGGCCTGTGCTGCCCTCCTTCCTCTCTCCAGGAAGCAGCTCAGAGTCCAGTTTCTGTCTCCCAAACTGATTTGTCCACCTGCCACCACTGCCCAGGTGCTGTCCCTCAGGGGTGGATGGGGCTGTTAACTCCAGACCAACACTGACCAAGTGCTGTCTCTGGAGGCTGGGCAGGTCAGCATACTAACCCCAGACTTTCTGGTCTTTATGCCCTCCCTCCTTTCCCACCAGCCGCTGGGCACAGTGGACAGGTAGCTTTGCAGCTCCCTGCAGAGTTGCTGGCTTACCTGTTAGCTCTGTGGGCAGACACCGGCTGGCTGGCTGTCTTTGGCTCTTCCCTGCTCTATGAGTGCTTAGAACATGTTTTCATGGAGAAGCAAATAAACCTGAGCTAAGTGAGGCACTGCTGCAGAACGGCCAGTTCCCGCAAAGTGGCCCTTAAGTGTCTCCTCACACAGCAGAGGCATACATAGCTGTTGTTGGGGGTCCCCACGCTGCCCCCAAACACCTTAGCCAGAACCTGTGGCATTGCCTGGTCTGCCCGTCTACCACTGGGCAGAGGGCCAGGGGCCAATCCTGAGTAACCCCAGCCCTGTTGAGTGAATGGAGCCTGGAGCCCAAGGGAGGCCCTTACACACAGGTAGCCCCCACAGAGGAGCTCCACTGCCAGAGGCCTGGGGAACAACCGCTCCACACGCATGGGGGCCACTGGGGGTTAGTGGCTCCCACAAGGGACAACACAGAAGGAGACCTGCCCTGAGGGGAGCTCCCCTGGCAGTGGCTTGAGCTGCGTTCCAGTGCGAGAAGCAGCCTGGAATGGGGAAACAAGGACCTCCTTTAGAGCAAGGTGATAAATAAGAACAGGTGTGATGTATCTTGAAGTTGTCTTTGACTAAACAAGGACCTTGAGGGGCTGGGAATGTGGCTTAGTGGTATGGTGCTTGCCTAGCATGCATGAAACCCTGGGTTCAATTCCTCAGTACCACATCCACAGAAAAAACCAGAAGTGGCGCTGTGGCTCAAGTGGTAGAGTGCTAGCCTTGAGCAAAAGAAGCTCAGGGGCAGTGCCCAGGCCCTGAGTTCAAACCCTAGGACTGGCAAAAAACCAACCAACTAACCTTTGACTTCTTCAAGCACCCAGACCTCAACAGAGCACTCTCTGCCACTCCTGCCTCTCCAGCAGGACATCAAACGTACCTCATCTTTATTTGCCAACTACAATGGACGCCAGGCCCTCCCTGGTGACTTCCTGAGACAGCTGGTCTCAAGGACTCCATAACCAACATCACAAGCGGTCACTTTTAGAAACTGTCCCAATTTTACAGAATGGTTTCTATGGCATCTTTTGGCTAGTGATCAAGTCCTTAAAAAATGAGACTGAGCTTTAAAAGCTGGAGAGCTTGCCCTGCGTGTGAGGCCTGTATGTGCGAGGCTGTTTTGATTCCCAGCCTCAAGAACACAAAAAGTTTATGTTCTGAGCTTTAAGCAATCACTCCATCAACACTTTAAAAAAATAGGTTTAATGCAGGTGGTTCATCTCATAAAGAATTTAACAGGCACTCGGGACACTGGGCAGCGGGGCGTGCAGCAGGGTCTCACCGCCTCTGCCCTGCCGCTCACATTCACTGGGCAGCGGGGCGTGCAGCAGGGTCTCACCGCCTCTGCCCTGCCGCTCACACTCACGCCGGCACGGCATCCCTTCTGCTACCAGCCCCCAAATACTACCTCATCCAGCAAGGGCTGCGGCAGCGCTGAGTATCACAAGCTGATTAACACAGAACAAAACTTCTTTGAGGAAGGAGCATGATTTAGTGCAAAAGATTCTCTGCAGCAAGAAGCAGGGTTTACTGGGGAGGCTCCTCACCTGCCCGCCCCGGAACTCAGACGGACATCTTCTACAGAGCCCTTCTGTTAGACCAGTGAACGGAAGCTGGCTGCGAATTACAGAGCTTGCTTCGCAGCCAGTGTTTTTTGCTTTCCCTACCTGTTTGGGTTTTCCTAACTTTCTCTTCAAGGTGCACATTGTCCTCACAGACCCCCAGTGACTGGCTCACCCGGCAGGCTGGGTCACAGGGGCCACACCCACGCCTTGGGAGCAAGGGTGACAATTTGGGGAGAAGCAAGTGTTGACCAACTACCATCCTCAGACCAGCCCGGTGACAGACTCCCAGCCTCACCACTCCCACATCTCACTAACACTCAGGTGCCATGTTCCACCCCCCACAAAGACCAGAACAGGGGTCTGGGTGCTTCTGGGGCGGACACTCTCCTAGGCCCATGTCTATGTCACGTCTGGCATGCTCTAGTAGCCATGGGAGAGACCAGGAGCCGCTACCGGCCTACAGACAGCCTTTGCACATGCCAGTCTAGGAGACAATGTACTATGTTCTCTGTGGTGGGTCCCAGCAAGACCTCTGCCCTCTGCTGGAGACAGGCAGCTCCCAACCCCACAGAGAAAGAGAATCAAAGGCCCCAAAGCCAAAGAGGCCACCCGGCTGCACTGCTGTTCTCAGCGCGCCTGCCCAGTGAAGGCCTGGGGCTGTCTGCGGGCGCAGGCACGCAAGGCCTGTGCTCCCGGGGGTCCTGCCCCAGGCACCCGCCAGTGTTGTCTTTGGCACACTGCTGGACTGCATGAACCAACCCAAGCGACTCTTGAGCCTCAGGACAGCTCTGTGGCAGTGTGGGGTGTCTGCCAGTGGACCCTGACCAGTCCCTGAGGCTGGGGTGGGGGAACAGTGGTGAGTGGGAAGGGGCCGAGAAGCCAGGAGGCCCCTCTGTGTCCAGGACCCTTCGCTGGTGGGGCCCAACGCTGATCTGGGTGACACGGGTCTCACGAGCAGACTGGGCAGATGGGCCACCCCAGAGGACAACATGGAAAAGTGCTCATGAGAACCATAGGCAGGAGGCCCTGAGGGCTGCTGGGCCTGGACTGGAACCCAGGAACCGTAGCACAGAGCCAGCGGGAGGAAGGGGACAGGGTCCCCATGAGCGAGCAGTCTCAGCCCTTTTGGCTCCCTCGTGGGAGCATGTGCTGTAGGCCTCGCCTGCAGGATGGGACAGAAAAAGCCCAGGCCAGCCCCAGGCAGCCAGGAAGAACCAGAACAGGGCACCATGAAAGCCCATAGAAGCCGATGCCCTCACATGTCCACGAAGACCATAAAGCACCAGCCCAGACCCCCGACCAGGAGCATGGTCACATGGATGGCATAGATGAGCAGCTCGTTCAGCAGGCGGAAGTCCAGGCGCCGGCGGCCCATCAGCAGCAGCAGCAGCACAGACAGCTTGAGCTGGAAGCGCAGCAGCACACGCACGCCCAGGTACTGCAGGCAGAAGAGGGCGGCCAGGGCTCCCCACAGAGCGGCCGTGAAGAGGCTGCAGCTGAAGTACAGCAGGAAGCGGATGAAGCCGTACAGCCAGCGCGTCTTGATGTACACGTCAAAGTTGTTGTACTTGGTGCGTGCCAGGTGGGAGGTGCGCACGGGCCCACAGGCCGCGTGCAGGCAGGTGGTGTGGGGGCCGTGGAAGGAGCGCACCCGGCGCGGGATGGGCATGACCGGCATTGGGCCCAGACAATTGCGGCGGTGGGGCCTCCAGCATAGGTGTCATGGACTCCTAGGCCTGGGAGCCCGCAGCTGAGCCTCAGGGGAGGCCTGGGCCTGCAGGGAAAGGGACAGGACAGGATGGTGAGTGCAAGGACAGCAGGAAGGAGGTGCTCTTCCCAGGGAATCAGACGGTGCAGCAGGACTGAGTCAGGCCTGGGGGAGGGGGGGTTGCACCCTGGGGCTGTCTTCCTACAGAAAGTTGGGGCACTGGTGGCTCACACCTGTAACCCTAACTATTCAGGAGGCTGAGATCTGATGAACTCCCATTTAAGCTGGCCTTGGTAAGCAAGTCCTAGAGACTCTTTAATTAGCTGCTCCAAATAGCTGGAAGTAGAGCTGTGGCTCCAGTGGTAGAGCCCTACCCTTGAGCACAATAGCTCAGGCCAGTGCCCAGGCTGAGTTCAAGACTGCAGACCAACACCGCACCTGTCAGGAAGCTAGTGAAAGCTAGAGGTATCCATTCTGTCCCCAGTGCTGGGAGAGGGGCTGGCTGGGCCAGGTGCAGCCCCTCACCCGGAGTCCCCGGGGGAAGGGGTGGCTCCCAGGGACAGTCGGTGACAGCGCCAATGGGGCTGGGACTTGTGGAGCCTGCCTAAGCCACTCCGCCCCACCTGCAGCCTCTTGCTGCCTTTTCTAGGCTTAAGGGCTCATTTGCCATGCCCACCTCTGCCCAGGATCCCCGGATGCCTGATCCAAGGACCACAATGGGTCAGGGTTGAGAGCAGGGTGCCCACAGGCCGGGGTCTCCGGGGCGACCTGCTAGGCCAGAACCCCGGGGTTGTCGGGTTACCTGACCCCCCATCCCCATTCCTCCGCTGTAAAAGGGGGTGCCAACACCAGCACCTGTCTGGGGCTGCCTGTACCGCGAGGGGGTGATCTAGGCGGTGTCACCGCGGCGCTGCGGCCCCATTTCTCTCTCCTGGCGGTGGATTTCGCTTCCCCTACTCGGCTTGCCACATAACCGGCGGCTGGAAACGACGAGGGCTCAGGGCGGGTCCGCGGGCGGAGGAGCCCGGGTCGCCGGCGGGGG